GCAACCTCAGCCTTCTTTTTTATTTGTTCTTTTATTTTTGAGACAGAATCTCATTAAATTCCCTGAACTTCCCTCAAACTTTCAGTCCTTCTCTCGTGGGCCCTCCCAGGGTGCTAAGATTTACAGTATGCACCACCACACCTGGCTTCAAACAACTTCTTTATTTCTAGTACTATTTTGGTATGAAATCTACATTGATGTTTAATGTTTAATCACCATTACAGGTTTCTTAGACTGCTGTTATAAGGGCATCTATTTACTGTTTCACCTTTACCCAATGTATGGAGACTATATATATATATATCTACAGGTTCTTATTTTTGTGTCCAATCTGAGACCCTGTCTTTGAGTATGTATATTTAGATTTCTTCTACATTTAAAATAATCGTTGACCCATTTTCTTTTCAATTTTAGGATAATGTGTTGTTGGTGGTGGTGGTGGTGTTGTTTTCTGGTGCCGGGGATCGAACTGAGGACCTTGCACTTGCAAGGCAGGCATGGCACCACTGAGCTACATCCCGGCCCTGGATAATGTATTTTTAGTGGTTTGATTTTCTCTCCTTCATTGGCTTACCATCTTAATTCTTTGCTGTTGTGCTAATGGTTGACTTAGGGCTTATGATGTAGATATTTAATCATCAGCTTCCACCTTCATGCAGCATTCTACTGTGTAAGGTAGCATTTAGGAGCCTTAGCAAAAGTGTGCTTCTGTTTCCCCTTCCTGGCCCTCATGACGATGGTGCATAGTTTGCTTTCATTGGCAGCCTCGTTCTTTTGTAATTATTTTTGTCTAAAGAGCAAACTATATACTAAATGTATTTTATATACTTATACAGTGATAGATCCTGTGTTTTCATTCCTTTTTGCCCATCCAGTTACTCGTCTGTTATTGCTTTCTTTCTGTCTGAACCTTAATATGTCCTTGCAATAAAGAGGCTACTGGGGATAAAGCATTAAAGCTCATGTAAGCATAAAAGAAATGTGCATCTTTGTTTTTGAAAATACTTTTGCTTTGTAAAGAGTACTAGGTTGACTTTATTCCTCTTCAGGGCTTTCCCAATATTACTACACTGTCACCTTACTTGTGCTGTTTTTATTCATATACCTGCTGTCTTCCTCAGATTTATTTTCCTATGTCAAGTTATTTTTTCTTTCATATACTTTTTAAAATTTTTTGTCATGGAGCAACTTGATTATTATGTGCTTCTGTATAAATATCTTCATGCTTCTTGCTCTTAGAACTCAGTGAGCTTCTGAATGTATAGGGTTATGCTTTTTACCAAATTTTGACTTCCCATTTAGTAGGCTGCTTTATGTTGCCCCACGGCTTACTGCTGCTGTCCTTGTTCCTGTTTGTTTATTTGTCTGTTTGGTATCGGGGATCAAACTCAGGACCTTGCGCTTGTGAGGCAGGTGTGGTGCCACTGAGCTAAATCCTCAGCCCTCTTCATTTTTGTTTGTGGTCTTTCTCTCTGCCTTTTATTTTGGGTGATTCTTATGACCAGATCTTCACGTTTATTAATCTGTTCTTATGTAAAGCCTAAACTTCAGTTATTCCCACTCATTGTATATTTTAAACACCACTTCCATTGTAGTTTTCCTCCTTAGAAGTTTTATTTGGATCTATTCATTTATAGTACTTCGTCTCCTTTTAGCTGCTCAATGTACATTGATAAAACTTTCAAAGTATGGAAATAATCATAATAACTGTTTTAATGTTGATTATAACACCTGTTTTGTTTCTGAGTCAGTACCAAGTGATTAAATTATCTCTTTATGGTGCACATTTTTTATTTTTCTTTGCATGCTTGGAGCTACTGGATGCATTTCATTGTGCGTTTCATCTTGTTGAATGCTATGCGGTGTGATATGCTAATGTGCTCTTACCTTTGTCTTGGGGTATTATGTGGGACAGCTTCATTCTTTTATATCATGTGTGAAGTATTAATGGGTCCTAGATGCTGCATGTAATCCAGCACTGATTATTCTCTACCTCTGAGGAAACTTCTGTGTGTTCTGCTTCTGATGCCGTGTGAACCCTGGAGTTTAACAGTGTGGATGATCAGAAGAGGCATTGTTCCCAACAGTGTGTAAGTGTGAGATAGCTCTCATCTTTTCAGGTGATGCTTTCCCCAGAGTTGAAGCACTGAAGAATCCTTTGTCTGTTTCTGAAGTTTCAGCTCTTAGCAGTTCTTCTTTTTCCAGTATGGTGGTCTGCCTGGGTATCTTGACATTACACTCTGCGTCATGAGACAGTGCCATTGTTACCAAAACAGGCTGGTTTTGCCTCATGCCTACTGTGCCAGATTTCTGAAACGATGTCTTTTGCAAAAGAGTTCATTCCTGAAGTGGCCAAATGCCAGAAAAAGAGAAGAAGTCTTAAAAGGATATGGCTTAGGGATATTTGAGAGATAAGGAAGCAGGGTGATTTAAGGCAAGGATAGAGATGATTGGAGGTGACTAATTGCTCTGTGCATATGTAATCCGTCTTCATAGTTCTGCATAGAGCGATGTTCCACAGATGACACTACCATGATCTGAAGACAGCTTTTGATGTCCTCATGTCAAATAACTCACTCATCAGAAACCCTAAGGCCCAAGTAAAGAGGAGATGGCTTCAATGAAAGTGACACTCTACTCCCTGTGAGCAACCTACACAAATGTTTATGATTCTGGCCCCGAGTCAGAGGCGTCTTTGGCAGTAAACCCACTGGGAGTTGAATGATCTACTGCTCAACTGGGTGTTGTCCAAAGCTGGTGAATTCTCAAGTCAACTGAAAGCACATATCTAAAACAGTGAACCTAGAGGGCTCGTTCAGGTTTCCCTTACTTTCACCATTGCCTGTTTTATGGTTTGGACCTAAAATTTCCCCTAAAAGCTAGAAGTGGGGTCTCGTTGGAGCAAGTAGGTGATAGGGTTGCCCGTGATGGCAGACTGGGACCACACTCCTCTCTTCTTCCTCTCTTGTCTTCTCTTTTCTCCTCCTTTCTCTTCTTTCATCCCCCCCTTTTCTGGCCACAGTGAGATGAGCAATTTTCCTGTTCCACATCCTTCTGTCTTGTGGTGCTGTCCCACTGCAGACCCAGAGATGACATATTACATATTACATATTACATATCATCAGTGGAAACCTCTAACACCATGAGCCCAAACAAACATTGGTCCCTGAGTTGATTTCCTCCCGAGTCTTGTCAGTAATGGGACGGTGACTAATGCAGTCGATGTGATTTTTGGCTTTCCTGTTGACACCCATTCTAGAAGTACGGATGGAAGTGATCTATGTACCAGAAGGTGACCAAAATTTCAGGACATTTTTTTCATTCATGTGCAGACAGTGAAAGCCATGACGTATTTCATGTTCCTTTAGCAGTTACTATAAGTTTTGAAAACAATACACAAAATAATATCGGCAAAATGTATTAACGAATGCTGAATTGAAAATATTCGTTTAGGTAGATATATGAATAGGACTGAACAGTGAAAACCGAGTAATCCTGACTCTGGCTCCGGAGGGGGAGAAGAAGGTGGCGCAACCGAAGCACCCTGCAACGCTCAGCAGGTGGGGGGAAGGGAAGAGGGCTGAGCCGGAGGGAACAGGTAGGGGACAGTGAGGGAGGCAGGGACAGCTCTCAGAGGAGTGCGGCCGGTCTGGGCCTGCAGCCTTGGAGCCGCCCCGCCCGTGACGTCTGCCTGCCGGCGAGACAGATCCCGATCCTGTGAGGCTCCCTGTCCACCCAGGCGGTCGGGCACCTTGGGGAGTGGCTGTGCCGGCGCAGGGAGGTCAGGGTGGAGACGGCCAGCGGTGGACAGAAGGCGCCGGGCCTTGGGGACTCTTTATCGTGTCGCCCCTCTGTCCAGCGGTCAGACCCCACCCCCCCTTTCTGGAATGCAGATTCCTGTCCTCGCAGGCATTTTGCAGGTTTAGGATCTGTGTTGCTTCGTAATCCGAGTGAAAGTTCACAGCGCCACCTGGTGTCCACGCGTCCCGCCTGACAGCGGCTAAGGGCGATCTGTGGCGGCAGGGTCTGGAGATGCGGGGCCAGGAGCGGGCTGCAGAGGTGCGTGGGGGCGCGGGGG